TACAGGCGCATGTCGCCAGGCAGAGATGAGAAGAAAGCGGCTTTGTGTTTCAGGCGGCCTGGGGATGCGGTTTCAGTTGAATTGTATGTATGGATGTATGTGTAAGCAGAAATTCAAGTTTCTTGTTTTAATAGTTTTTTTTCTTTATTGTTTCGATATTAAAACTCCTTTTGTTTCTGCTTTCTCTCTACATTCAACTACTTCTCGCCTTTTGTATTCATGGCGGCCTGGGTTTCGTCACCTGCCCCCTGTGTTACTGGCATCAAGCAATTCAGATTCTCTCGTCAACAACCCAGAGGAAGCAGAGGAAGCAGAAGGAGTTGAACAACAAACCGAAGAAACAAATATAGATTTAGAAACAGAAGAAGATGATGATGTTCTTAGGTTTATTCCGATGGGGAGAGATGCTATCACAGCACCCATGCAGCATCAGCCTCGCGGCACGCGTATGATTCCGGGTTACCCCGGCCCCCAGTTTGTTTCTTTAAGACCTTCTGTATTGTATCGTCGTCGACTGCGTAGACACCGCAGAGATGAAGGCTGGCAGTATTCTAATTTACCCTCGAAACGTAATTTTTTCGCCGCGAGAAGAAACCATAGGGATCAGCTTATGCACAGATGGCTGTACACTAGACACCGCGAATGCAAGCGACGAGCAAAGGAAATACGGAGCATGATTCAGACCCAAAGTCGAGAAATATTTAATGAAAAAAAAGAAAAACAAAAAAATATTGACGCCACCAAGCAGATCGCAGACGAAACATCTGCTGCTGCTGCTGCTGCTGCTGCTGAGGAAACAGCAGAAAGCGCAGCTGTTTCTGAGACCATGGAGCCAGCGGGGGGGGAGGAAAGCAAAGACTGTATATCATCTATGCGTGCAGCGTTGCAGTGTATCCCCTCAGCTAAAGTTTTATCATCGATGTCTTCATCAGAACTAAGCAGTATGCATGCAAAGCTGCGAGAGCTGTTGGTTGACGCAGTGATAGCTGTGGCTCCCCCCGAGAGAGTAGCAGCAGCTGCATCTGAGGGTTTCTCTCTCCCGCCCCCTGCTGCAGCTCTTGCTGCTTCTCCCTTTCCTTGGTGGAGCAGCGGCCGCGGGCTGCAGCCATGGAGAGGCAGAAAGCAAGCGTGGGCGCAGCTGAGCCGCCGCGTGAACTGGGCGGCCCCCAGACGCCCGGTGGAGCCTATGGTTGCTGGGGTGTTGCTGCCGCAGCAAGCAGCAGCAGTTGTTACAGCTGAACGCAATGCACGCAACAAAGAAATCTTAGATTCAATTCGTTCTTTCTTGTTTCCTGCTGCTGCACAACCACAAACTGCAGCAGCAGCACTGCAGCAGCAGCAGCAGCAGCAGCAGCAAACACCTGATTATGCACCACCCGATGTGCCTTGGTTTATAGAGGCAGAAGATGAACGCCTAAAACACCTCTTGCGCTGGGACGGTAGCCGGAGCAGCAGCAGCAACAGCAGCAGCAGCAGCAACAGCAGCAGCAGCAGCAGCAGCAGCAGCAGCGGGGTGCATGCAAGTACAGCTCAGCTGTTCCGTGGAGCAGCAGCGGCGGGTTCGTGTGAGCAGAGAGGAGGTGTGGGGGGGCTGCATGCATCTGCAGCAGCAGCAGCAGCTGATGGGGGCGAAGCAGCAGCACTGCGGCGAGCTATCGGAGCAGCAATAGATGTAGCTTTGCTGCTGTCTGAGGCTATGGTAACAAAGAAGAGTGGTGCTGCTGCACCCTTCTCTTGGGATTCACCTTTTCTGCGTTCTGCTGCTTCCTCACGGAGAAGAAAAAGAAGACAAAGGGGCCGCCCC